AAAAAAATCAACCTGTATTGTTAAATTATTAGGATGATTTATAAACAATGTTGTTTTAGGATAAACAATTTGATTGTTCGACAATTGCAAATTATTAAATTAAATATCAATATGTTAGGGAATGTAATTCAAATGATGCAAATATTTAGACTCTAACAAAAGGCAGCCATATATTATTTACCTCACCTCAAAAAGGGGTATCATTTCCATTCCCTTGACTTTAAGGTAAATTAAGAGAAATTTGTAAAGCACTCAAAAGAATATTCAATTCAATATGTGGTGGACAGTTAAGAAATTATGTGTTATCTAGGTCATGGAAAAGCAACTTGTAAAAAGAAAACATTTCCTCTGAGGTTTTCACAAATAAATGAAACTGTGAACCCTCGTATGTACTGTGAAAGGACGATTTGAGGAGCATCTCTGATTAGCAGCAGGTTGATTATTCTTTCCTCATTTCATGTTATACTTAGTAAAACAAACCATACTTGTATATACACACATTCACTTACACTGAAGATGCAAGATGAAGAAAGGTACATGACATTGAATGTACAGTCAAAGAAAAGGACTTCTACCCAAACAACTCAACTTACATTTAAAGGTATAGAATTTAATTTTGTTTTTCAATTGGTGTGAATTAACATAGTAGTTTTCCACATTCTCTTCTATTGTGTTATCGGACTGTTTCATTATTTGGGTACTTTTCTTTCTCTGTCTCTGTATCTTTCTTCCCTTCCCTCTCTTTCAATATTAATAATGATTTAAAAATAACAACCACTCTTACCATTTAAGAAACACCAGTTGCAGGCACTATACAGAGTGTTTTATCTATGTTCCTTCATTTAATCTTACAAATTTCCTGTGAGATACTCTCTCTCTCTCTCTCCCATTTATCAATGTGGAGCTAATGCTTACTTGTAATATCTTGTCTGATGTAATTTCTTAAGGACATTCTCTGAGGAAATATGCACACTTAATTAAAATTAATAATTTCAAATTAGTGAATATTTGGTGCCATTCACCTTCTTATCATTCAGAGAATATGGTGTTTTAATGCTTTTTTTTTTTTTTTTTGAGACGGGGTTTCACTATTGTTGCTCAGGCTGGAGTGCAATGGCACGATCTCGGCTCACTGCAATCTCTGCCTCCCGGGTTCAAGCGATTCTCCTGCCTCAGCCTTCTGAGTAGCTGAGATTACAGGTGCCCACCACCATGCCTGGCTAATTTTTTTCATTTTTAGTAGAGACAGGGTTTTACCATGTTGGCCAGGCTGGTCTTGAACTCCTGAGCTCAGGTGATCCACCTGCTTTAGTCTTCCAAAGTGTTGGGATTACAGGCGTGAGCCAACGCGCCCAGCCTTCAATACTAATTTTTAATTCAACTTCTCTAAAACTTTAAAATATGCTCTTTTTAAAATATGCTCTTCACCAGGTTGACTCAAAATAAAGTTTATGCACCAGCAATCAACAATTTAATTTCTACTTCAAGCATACCCTCCATACATAGTGCAATTCCATCATGCCACCTGAATGTGATATGGCAAAAGAGATGAGCAGAACTTAAAGACACAAATAACCACAGTTATAGAGACCGTCTGTTCTGTTCTATTGCTTTCTAAATATTTCTCTTTTAATAACTTCACCCATGAAAATGTTACTTATCTCTTGACTCCTTCTGCAAGTATCATCCATCACAGATTCATCTTAGAGTTACACACCTGCTATGTGTAAAAAATTTATTGCTTCTTTCATGGTTTTACAGAGTCCCATATTTTCAAGTCTTTACTTCCTATGCTCAGTTTTTATTTCATTTTTGGAAACTAGAGATATTAAACCTGAAAGACTACAAAATGTAGTGAATTATCTGCAGACTTTTTTCCACACTCTGTTCATTAATGTCTTTCTGAGGCAAAAATGTGCAGATTTTCATCTCCCAGATATTTAAGTGACACATACTAATATTTATGTCTTGTACCTTTAGCTAATATTTATTAAAGCTTGAGGTAAGACATATCTTATGTGAATTAGATTGACAATTTGAGCCTTGGGGTTATGATGTTCATTCATATAACTTAATTTTGTGATGGCATATTTGTAAATCTTTTCTCATATATTGAAAAATCTTTGTTGCCAGGGATAGTAAGAAATTACATAGCTGCTCTATCCCACTACGCATATATAGTAGTTTCAGAATCACTATAGGAATAATATTACAATAAGATAGTTAAAACAGATTAAAATGTTTTGCAGGTTTAAAAAATCCTTAAGATATATTCCATTAAGCATGCACCATTAAATACTTTAAAATCACTTTAAGTAATTCCTCTCTCTATAGTGAAGACACTAGCAATACCTAGTTAGATTCCTGTTCTTCATTTTTTATGATTTTTTTCTTTTTGTTTAACTTATTTTATAGTAATGTAAAACATTTACATATTTTCAGTCAAACTTATATAATAAAGGGCCAAGTGTGGCAGCTCATGCCACTAATCCCAGCACTTTGGAAGGCCGAGGCAGGATGATCACTTGAAACCAGGAGTTCAAGACCTGCCTGGGCAACAAATGAAGACTCCCATCTCTACAAACAATAGAGATAAAAGAATTAGTCAGTCATGGTGGCACATGCCTGTAGTCCTAGCTACACACGGTGCTCAGGCGGGAGGATCTCTGAGCCCAGGAGCTCGAGGTTACAATGATCTATAATGGTTCCACGCTGCACTCCAACCTGAGCAACAGAGTGAGACCCTGTCTCAAATGAATAAATACAAAGTTAAAAAATTTAAAAAATTGCTTTCAGAGAAATCCACCTCGCATAAATCCAGCACCCTTCATAAAATTGTACCATTTTGTATTTCTATATTTTCAGTGTTTACTTAGCTATTCTCACTCTTTTGTTCTTCCAAATAACTTTATAAAAAATTATTCAGGCTCACTCACCACAAATAACAAAAAATAAAACAACCCAATGTAGCTTTTACATCTAAATTACTTCCTAGTTTGTCATTAAACTTAGGGAGAATTTATATTTATGACACATCGTTTTCTTTTCCAAGAACATGATCAAATTAATATTATTCAGTTTTCAGTTAGTTTAGTTTAGTTTTGTTTGTATTGGGTCGGGGCACTTGTTGATTTTCTGTCTAGTTTTCTTTTTGTTTGTTTGGTTTTTTTGGTTAACTGTCCATGAGTAATGAATTTCTTTCATCTATGTTTTCATAGTGGTTACTGGATTATACAGGGCACTGATTTTAGTATGTTATTTTTATAAATGCAGCTACTATTTTTTGTTCCTGGAATTATGGTATTTTTTTCAATTGATTGTACTCACATTACCTTCAAATAATTTTACCTTCTTTTTCTAATATTTCTACCTGTAATTAGAATATTTTTTCTTCATTGCGTTATATTTTACCTCTTCATATTAAAAAGTAGTGGAGATTTGAGATATCTTTCTTTTTCTGGACTTAAGCAGAAAAGCTTCTTTCAGTTTTCTCAATTCAATAAGATGTTAGCTTCATTAGACATAAAAGTATTACATTGAACAAGTATCCATTAATTTCTGTTTTTTAACATAAAGGTGTAAGATTTTATCAATTTCATTTTTTACTTCTATTGAGATGATGATAGATTTTTCCTTAACTTTATTAATATAATATTAACATGGATTTTCTACTATTGAATAATCTTTACATTCCTAGAATAAACCAAACATGGTTATAATATATTTTGGTTGCTGATAATGTATTTAACATTTTTGTATAGACATTCATAAGACTGATTTTGGTTTTTTATTTTATTATTTCTGGTTTTGAGTGGTAAAAAGGCTTGTGTTTTGACCATTATAAGTTAAATTAAACCACTTCCTTACAGGAGAAAATACAGGATAATGAAAGTGTTACTTTCTCCATTATTCAGCATCTCTTAAAAAAATTTTTTTACTTTTATTTTTATTTTATTATTATTATTTTTTGAGACAGAGTCTCGCTGTGTTGCCCAGGTTGGAGTGCAGTGGCACAATCTTGGCTCACTGCAACCTGTAGTGCTTGGGAGAAATAATTGAGTCTGGATTGAATTTCAACTGCCTTCCACAACTTTTTTTTTCCTAATGTTTTCTGATAATTATTTTTTAAGTTTTAAAATAAATATATGACATTTTTAATACACCATGCTTGATTTCTTGGAATTTATTGCTTATCAAAGTTAACATATCAAAAATTCAAAAACAATCTGAGAAATGTGTAGTATGCATTAAATGAATTCTGATAAAATTATTTTAGTATCTTTGACAATGTTATAATAAGAGAAAACCTGCAAACTACTTATATAAAATATAATTCTATAGGGTTCATCATGTGCTTTTCTGACAGGGCTTGACAGCTTCAAATGTAGTTTCTCTATTTTATCCAGGTTTAAAGTGTATTTAGAATATAAATTTCAGCATTAGTAATTTGATTTATTGACTGAACAATAAGAATTATTTCAGCTACAACAGAGGATTCTTATCAATTATTATGATAGATTTACATGAATTATCTTTGATAAGGACAAAGTGTTTCACAAAGTACAGATATTCACTTATTCAGTATAACATAATTATTCATGTAATTTCATAAGTCAGTGCCCAGAAGACCTAAATCCTCTGATGAGACTCTCTAATGTCTGTTCAATGATAGCAGTTTCTTGAATAATAATCATTGAACAAGGACTTTTTTTTTTGAGAGGGAGTCTCGCTCTGTCGCCCAGGCTGGAGTGCAGTGGCGCGATCTCCGCTCACTGCAAGCTCCGCCTCCCGGGTTTACGCCATTCTCCTGCCTCAGCCTCCAGAGCAGCTGGGACTACAGGCGCCCGCCACCTCGCCCGGCTAGTTTTTTGTATTTTTTAGTAGAGACGGGGTTTCACCGTGTTAGCCAGGATGGTCTCCATCTCCTGACCTCGTGATCCGCCTGTCTCGGCCTCCCAAAGTGCTGGGATTACAGGCTTGAGCCACCGCGCCCGGCCAGGACTCTTATTTTTAAACTTGACAGTGTAAATATATGAAAAATAAAACAGTTCTTAAAAGTTTACCATGCAATAAGAAGATGAAATATTATTCATGACCTACGAAGGATTTTAGAGTTTTTTTGATTAGAATAGCAGGATACCTAAAGCCATATTTAGTTCTGATTCATCCTTAGTAAATAAAAAAGGCTCAGAGGACTTGTAAATGTTATATTAATGATGATTTAGAAGGTGTTTATGTGGCTATACATGTATTATCTGTAAATGCATGTGCATGTGCGCGAGTGCATGTGTCTCTGTAATGGTTGGAAAATTATTCAGTATATAGAGTAAAATTCTTTCTACAAGTTAATAATGTTAAATATTAGCAATTTCTTAGGATTTGATATGACATAAATCATAGCTTCTGACCATCCAGAGTGTTATCATTATTAAATAAATGTATTTTTCTATTTACTTAGCCTTCATGCTTTTGTTTGCCTAATATCCTTTGAAACCCAACCTTATGTATTATACAATCCTATTATTACAATTGCTATTATATTACTTCCTGGAAACATACTTTTCTAAACTAATTCATGTGATTAATGTCTCAGATTATTCAGTGGTGTTGCACTGGTATAAAATCTTACTGGGAATATCTGGAACCCTGAATGGTATTCTGGCTTTGGCTTTGATCTCCCTGATCCTATTGGGTAAGTTAGAAGATCTTAATTAAATAAAAGTATGAAAGATGTTTACTTGTTTCTTATAAATCTTTTTATAATTATTCATTCATTCTTCATGACATTAACCAAGATTGAATTAGAAGGTACTGCATATAAAGCTCTATTAGTACACTACATGGTGCTATATTTAATATGCAATCAAATCAGGTAAGTCTCTTGTCCTCAAGTGGCATACAGTCTAATACGGAGAAAGGAGTGTATGTGTAGAGAGTGTGTGTGTGTATGTGTGGTATTTGAAACCATTTTTCTGTGTTTCTTAGATACTGGTAATAGATACAATTTTACTGTTTTGCTTAAACATTTTAATGCGTTTTATCTAAGGTTGTATTTAGTTTGCTTTTCCTTTTGTCCAACAAATATTCACTGAGCAACTACAATAGTCCAAATATTACAAATTGCCCAAAACTTTTAAGAAAAGAATAGTCAGGGTGAGGAATGTTATATTCTAGTGGGAGAAGCAGGTATTAAGTAATTATGTTACAATGTGCTGAATACAGTATTGGAGGTTGCAGCAAAACATTAAGAAAGGATGAAAAGAGCCTATACACTTCCCAGAGCAGAAACTTGACTTTATTTACTATTGTATTACCAGTTCATAGGGATGTCTGGCTTAGAATAAATTCTCACCAAGTATGTGTTGTATACATGAATTGATTGCGTAAGATTTTGAATTCTTTCCATCCGTAGACATGAAAATTTTAAAAAGATCCTAGTGATCCCTTCAATTATTTCTTGTTCCAATCATCAGAATTATCCCAATGAATGTGTCTCTGAGACATTCCACAGAGAACATATTTACCTAACCTTAAAATATTCAAGTTTTTCAGGGAGTATTGCTAAAATGCCAAAAAGGAAGTCATTCAAATACCACCGAGCATGAAGATATTGGAGACCTAAAAATGAATAACGGCACAAGAAGAAATACAAGTAATAAGGACCTTTGTGTTTCGAGATCTGCAGACCAGACAGGTATGTCTCAAGGCTTTGGCTTATCCTTGTTTTAATCTTTTGGACTCTCTAAATGTTGAGCATTTTTGAACAGGTATGCAATAGATTAAACTAACATGTAAAGGTTTGGTATAAATCTACTTTTTATTCAAAACTTGATTTAGATTTTTTTTTCTTTTTCTTTTTCTTTTTTTTTTTTTGAGACAGAGTATTACTCTGTCGCGCAGATATCTTTAAACTTGTTGCAGTGGGAGAAAAATTGTAAAACAACATAAGAAATAGGCTCTTCCCTCTAGGAATTTAAAATCAAGTTGATACATACAAATATGGAAAGTTAGTTGTTATTAAAAAGCAGTATGTAAATAGCCATTCTTGCTTGTCACTTATTTATTCTTCTTTTTCTGAAATACAGACTGGATAAAAGTCAATATTTTAAAAGTTACTCAGTATGATTTTAAGCTTAGACTTTTAAGCTTAGAAATTCCAGTCATACAGAATTTTGATAACATTACCTTCTATTTTTAAATGTTTAAGTTGAACTTTTAAATACCTAACTGATAATTTTGACATTTATTTTATTGTATGAGATGATATATTATGACTTTCCAGATAAATGCATAATTATTATAAAAGGATTTTTTCTAATCTGCTAGTTCATATTGCCTCCTTTATCATACGTGAACATTTTACACATTTTATGTTCTACTGATTGATACTCTCTTCATTTGGCTTATGTGTCTGTTTCACAGGTATATGTCCCAAACCAATAGAGATATTGTAGCTTTGTCTCATATTTTATTGTCTCCCTATCTCTAATGTCTGTCGTTGTGTTGGGTATCATTGCAATAACACCTTAGAAAAGTTAAGGCGGCTTTGGTAGGTAAACATGGAATCCTATACATGTCATTAAACATTAATTAAAGTAGGTATAAATACTGTATATTGAGCTATAATATATTTATTTCCTATTCCTTTTTTTAACTGAGGTACAATTCAAAAACTTGAACCTTTAAAAGTAAACAATTTCATGATGTTTAGAACCTTCAAACATTGTGCAACTACCATGTTTATCTAGCTGAAAAACTTTTCCCAAAAATAAATCCCTTACATACCCAATAAGCAAATCACTCTCCATTCTCCCCCGATTTAGCTTCTGACAACTACAAATCTTCTTTCAGTCTATACGGATTTACCTGTTCTGGATTTTCACGTAATAGAATCACACAATATTTGGCCTTGGGCTTCTTTCACTTAGCATAATGTTTTTAAAGTTCATCCACGTTTTATTCCTTTTTATGGGTGAATAATAGTCCATTGTGTGTGTATATCTGTAAATATAGAAACATACATATTTATATGTATCTCTATATCTATAAATATTGATAGTCATATGTATATCTGTAAATATAGATATGCACAATGTTTATGTGTGCAGAGCTTAAAGGTCAGTCCGATGTGAGATCTTAGGACCTTTTCAGGTGATTTCTGAGCATGCACCCAGCCCAGGGCTTGTGCCTGGCCTTCCAGATTTTCAGGATTGTGTGGGAGCTTTTCAAAGTCCTTATTCCTGAAACAGCTCATCCCCCAGCTTTTCCTTTCAAGCTTTTCAGTTAGTCCTGTTGTTTGTTCCAACTATTGTACGTTGCCTCATGTGACAAAAGCTAACATATTTAACTTAATTTTTACAAATATCCTTTGGTAGCCTCATGGCAGGTATCTAAGTCTTCTTTACTGGCAGTGATATCTACTGCTAAAACAATTCAAGAGTCCATAGATGCTCTGGATTTCATGGAAACTCATGAAAGACAAACTCAGTTACTGTTGTCTGCTAATTCTACAAATAACACCTCACCTGACTTGAATCAAAATCACCACTGATAGCAAGGCCATCTCTTCGCTAGGCCAAACACACAACTTACAGCCAGGCCCCTGGTCCAGGGTGAGCCCTGAGAAAAAGAGAGTTTATATTGGACCCCAAAAGACAGGTGGGTCCCAGGTTGGATAATCTCTGGTAGAATGATGAAACAATTGCAATACTTACTAGGGTTGGAGGACAACAGTGCCAGGCTTCTCCCTAGCTTCTGGAGGCGATCTTTCCTTCTGCACCTCCTTCTGTATCCATGAGTAGCAGGACCCCACTCCCACATAGGGATATGGTGGGCATGAAAGCTGGTGTCTTCTAGTAGATATTCACTCTTTTACCAAATTAATTGAGGTTGAGTCTCCAAAAAATAATCAACTTTGACTGGCTCTGACAGACTTTTAGACATGAATGCCCCAATTCCTCTTATTCCAGGAAGCACTCATAAATTAAAGTGATTTTTCTGGGAGGTGAATAGCTTTGAGGAAGGGTAAATTAAAGAGGCAATTCCCTGCTCAAATATTAAATTTGGTCCCATTTTGCTGAAAGATGCTTTCATCCTGGTTGTCCCTCAAGACTGTTCCTTTGATCATCCTTGAAATGGACCTTCTCAGTCAGCACGTGATCTCATGGAAAGCTTTTACACTATTGGCGGGCACCACATAGTGGAAAACAGTTAATCTTCCCCACCAGTGTGAGTGGTAAATACTCCAAGATACCAAGCAAGGCAAAGCACTGCAGGATTGTGGTCTGTTATAGCTGACTTTGTCAAAGGAATTCTATTCTTTACCATGTTGCCTTTTAACTTCCTGGTATGGCCTATGTGTAAAGCCACTACTAGAGAGTGAAGGCTAACTATAGACTACAGAGAGTTAAGAAAAATTATTCCTTTTATTAGAGCACCTTTATTGGATAATTGCTTTAATGAATGACCTTCAAAACATAGGTAAATGGTTTGGGAACAGACTTAGCTAACGTGTTCTATTTAGTAAAAATTTTTCAGGAGAATCAATCACAATTTGCCTTCACATTTACTTGGTTGCTGTGGACTGAATTGTACCCTCCCCTTAATTCATATATTGAAACTCTAACCCCCGATGTGATGGGATTTGGAGATGCGGTCTTTAGGAAGTAATTAGATTTAGATGAGGTCATGTGGATATGTCTGTCTTAGTTTGGGGTGCCACAGCAAATTACCATAAGCTAGGTTGCTTATAAACAACAGATATTTATTCCTCACAATACTAAAGACTGGAAGTCTGAGATTACAGTGCCAGCATGGTTGGGTTCTGGTGAGGGCCCTCTTCTCTGTTGCAGACTGCCAGCTTCTCATTGAAATCTCTCATGGCAGAAAGCAGAATGACTCAAGTTATCTCAGGACTCTTACAAGTACTAATCCCATTCTGATCTTCATCTGTTCTTAGCTCCCAAATGCCCACCTCCTAATACCATCATATTGGGAGGTAGGATTTCAGCATATGAATTTTGGGGTATGCAAATATTCAGTTCATAAAGTTTTACCTCTGAATTCCCAAAATTCATGTCCTTCTAACGTGTCAAATGGAGAAGACAACACACCAAAAGAGAAAGATATATTTGCAAATCATGTGTCAGATAGGGGTATAATATTCAGAACATATAAAGAACACTTATAACTCAAAAACACAACCCAATTTAAAAATAAGCAAAGGACATGAGTAGACATTTCTCCAAAAAACACTATACAAAAGGCCAATAAGCACTTGCAAAGATGTTTAATATGATTATTCATTAGGGAAATGTGAAATCAGAACCAGGGTGGAAAGCTGCTACACACCCACCAGGATGGCTACAATCACACAAAAAGAGCAAATGTTGGTGAGGATGTGGATAAATCGCTCACATATTGCTGGTAGAAATGTAAAATTTTATAGTACTGCGGAAAACAGTTTGACAGTTCCTCAAATCATCACATGACCCGACATTCAACTTTTAGGTATATATCCAATAAAATGGAAGACATATGTCCTTACAAAAATTTGTACATGAATGTTCGTAGTAACAATATTCATAATAGCCAAAGAATGGAAGCGGCTCAGATATCTGTCCATCAGCTGATAAAGAGATAAACAAAATGCACTACGTACATGTTATGAAATATTCTTACAACCATAAAATAGAATGTAGTACTGATACATGCTACAACTTTTACAAGCCTTGAAAACATGGTGCTGAATGAATGAAAAAGCAGATGCAAAAGGCCATATATTGTATGATTCCATTTATATGAAGGGTCCATCATAGTCAACCCCATAGTGACATAAAGCGGGCTAGTGGTTGCCAGGGTTGTGGGAGCAGAAAATGAGTAGTGACTACTTAGTGTTTATATGTAATGCAAATGCTCTGGAATGAGATAGTAGTGACAGTTGTACAACATTGTGGGTGTATTAAAAGCCACTGCATTTGCACTTTAAGATGGCCAAAATGGTGAATTTTATGTTACGTGAAGAAAAATAGTCATGGTAAGAAATAAATAAAAAGAGAGAGATTGTAATGGATCATAAGTTAAAATAGTTATATTGGTCTTTATTTATATTTTTATATATATCCCACTTTTTCTCAATATGATGTCAAAAATCTCAATATTTCCATTTAATTTAATTTTCCTTAATATTAACTTAGGAAAATCAAAGAACTACATAATATTGCAGTTATTAAGAGGTTGAAAATAAAGAAGTTGAAAATAAAGTATTATCTTTCTTGGCATAATTTAATCATTTAATTATTAATTACTTAATATTAAGAGGGAGAAGGGGATACACATACAAAACTACAAGGAGAGTGATTTGAAAACTTTGTGTGGTTTTTATTTGCATTTCCTCTAATGATCAGTGATGTGAACCACGATAAGGTACTAACTCACATCAGTCAGAATGTCTATTATTAGAAAGTCAAAAACTAACATGCTGGTGAGGGTGCGGAGAAAAAGGAATGCTTATACACTGGTGGCAGAAGTATAAATTTGTTCAGACTGTGTGGCAATTCCTCAAAGATCTAAAGACAGAAATACCATTCAAATTCAACCCAGCAATCCCATTACTGGGTATATACCCAAAGGAATGTAAATCATTCTATTGTAAAGACACATGTATGTGTATGCTCATTGCAGCACTATTCACTATAGAAAAATCAATCTAAATGCACATCAATAGTAGACTGGATAAAGAAAATGTACATATACACCATGGAATACTATGCAGCCATAAAAAAGAATGATATCATGTTCTTTGCAGAGACATGGATGGGGTTGGAGGCTATTATCCTTAGCAAACTAATGCAGGAACAGAAAGCCAAACATCGCATGTTCTCACTTATAAGTGGGAGCAAAATGATGAGAACACATGGACACATGGAGGGAAAAAACACACACACTGGGGCCTACTTGAAGGTGAAGGGTAGGAGGAGGGAGAGGATCAGAATGAATAACTAATGGGTACTGGGTGCTACCTGGATGTTGAAATAATCTATACATCAAACCCCCATGACACAAATTTACCTATGTAACAAATCTGCACGTGTACCCCTGAACTTAAAAGTTAAAAAAAAAACTTTGCGTGGATAAATTCTAAGTAACACAAATTACATTTTATCTAATCTCTCAAATAGCTATTTTATTTTGTTCATGCTATTTTTGTCAATATAATAGATCTTGGCATCAAAATTCCCATTATGTCTAGGTTTTGCTTCATCTCATTAAATTAATTGTCTTAACTTCCAAGGACCATCATTTGTGTTTTGGCCATCTTTTATGTCTGGACAATTTGCTATGAGTGATTTTATTGTAGCTCAACTCTTATTTATACAATATATAAGTGTTGTTCTTACTGCCAATTTTCAGAGATGCATATGTACTTTAATTTCATTTTGTTTTCTACATTTCTCTGTAGTACTATGCCAATCAGAATGGCTCAAATACCGAGGGAAGTGTTATTGGTTCTCTAATGAGATGAAAAGTTGGAGTGACAGTTATGTGTATTGTTTGGAAAGAAAATCTCATCTACTAATCATACAGGACGAACTTGAAATGGTAATTGGTCTAGTGTCAGGGTTATGGCATCTTTGCAGTTGAAAATGGCTTTCCTTAAATATCTTTCCATCTTTGCATTAAATCATCATTTACTTTGATTATGAAGTTTTGGGCACTGTCTTAAATTTTGTATTCCAAGCAAGGGCCTCACTTCTCATGCTGGATCTGGCCCAAATTCGTATATTCAACTTGCAATTGCGTGTGTGTGTAACATATATATGATATAACGTGTGTATAAGTAAGATATGAATTGATTATCATAAGAATCCCCATGCAGAGTGCTCTTTTCAATAAAATTTAAAATCTTCAGTGTGTCTGAATTGCTGAAATATTTTGTTTATTTAGTCCCTCATTGTCCACATTTTAGGCTTTTATACAGAAAAACCTAAGACAATCAAACTACGTATGGATGGGGCTTAACTTTACCTCCTTGAAAATGACATGGACTTGGGTGGATGGTTCTCCACTAGATCCAAAGATGTGAGTCAGTCTTAAAAGGCAATCTGATTTATTGTCTGTTATAGAATATGTCTCCTCCAGGTTCACCAAATTCAACTCTGAAATAGTTACTGGTACTACAGAATTCAAAAGAATGAAAATTAATTTAGTATTTACAGGAGTAATGATGGATATTTTGATTTTATTTTTAAAGAAAAAGGATTTGAAAAAGGTAGTTTATGATTTTAAAATTTCTTACACTTTATATAGAAAAGTAGTTTGCATCAACGCGGTCTCCTGTTTTGAAAGTTCTCAATGCTTTCTTTAGCCATCTTCAGTAATAAAATAAAACCAATGTGCATTTTTTGTGTTATGTGATTATCACAATATTAAAATATAAACAATATATACAACATAGAACAAGATTATCCAAAAGTCTCTGAACAAATGCATGGAATTATTGATTTTAAAAGTTCTGTCAATATTTTTGTGTGCATTATTTTATAATAAAATATTTAATTAAAAATATAATTAGTAAAACAGGTAAATTCAAAATCCTATTCCTATGTTAGTAGGCATGATAATGGTCCCCAGAGATGTCTACATTCTAATCCCAAAATGCTGTGAATATGTTATTTTATATGGCAAAAGAATCTTTGCAGGTATGATTAAATGAGGAATCTTGAGAGAGGAATGTCATGCTGGATTATCTGGGTGGTCCCAATCAAATCCCTTAGAAGAGGGAGGAAGCAGAATTAGCGTCATATTGGGAGATATGAAGTGGAACGCAGAGATTCACATGATGTGAAAGCACCTCTGTGGGCCAAGGGACGCAAGTGGCCTCAGATTCCTCCCTAGTACATCCAGAAGGTGACTCTGGAGACATTTTGATCTTAGTCCCGTAGGGCAATCTTGGGCTTCTGATACTCATAAGTGTAAGATAACAAATTAACCTTGTTTTAGGCCACTAAGTTTGTGGTAATTTGTCATGGTAGTGATAGAAAAATAGTACATTATAGTAACCAACTTAATAGTGCTATTATTTTCCCCTTATTTCTATTTCATCATTAAATATTAAATATTTTCTATCTGACTGCACTATAATCAATATAAAAAGTGAATAAAAACATTATTTGGATTGAAGGATAAAATTATGGATGTGTGTCATCTGAGAGCAGAGTTGTGTCACTGAACATGACATGAAGTTGCCAAACTTTGTTTTGTCCTCTTGCCACATCCATTCAACCCTTTAGGGTAGTGTTTTAACTCTAGATCATGCTTGGAGATTTTTGTCCATAATATATTCAATACAAAATTTAAATCTAAGCTTGGACAAAGTGTATTTTCTAATATGAAAATTCAGTACTTACTTGCCCTTATCAATTTGGAAGCATTGAAGATCATGTGCACCTTTTCCAAGATTCTTTCTTGAACTTTTTCCACAGGTCAAACAAATTTATCAGAATGTATCACTAACACTACATTATTTTATATATAAATTTGTTAATATTTTTAATCTGTTACATTATAAGTAAATAGTGCAATAAGTATGGAATTTATTATTTAGGTCATACATAGATCGCTTTGTGTATTGAGTTCTTTACAAACATCAATTCATATAAATGCTAAACAATATCATGAAGTATTGTTATCATCCTTATACAATTAGATATAAGAAGGAAAGAGAGGTTAAGCGAGCTGTCCAAATGGAGTTAATCTTATTTTTAATGTAACTGAACTACATGGGGCAAGAGAAGGAATACTAGAATGGGAATGTGGAGGGAAATTTATTCTCATCTCTGTTAGTTGCAGACTCTCTGGCAACTCTTGACCAACCACAGCTAACAAGGCTAAGTTACAGTTATTGTAATCATTAGTCAACTCAAGTATGTAAAAATGCTTTGAGATTTTGACAAAAGAGGATATTAGCAGAAGGTACAAATGGCTGTCTTCAGCAACAGTGCTTAACAAAGTATTCATTCTCTCTTCCCCAGATTCTTCATAAAGGGACCAGCTAAAGAAAACAGCTGCGCTGCCATTAAGGAAAGCAAAATTTACTCTGAAACCTGCAGTAGTGTTTTCAAATGGATTTGTCAGTATTAGAGTTTGACAAAATTCACAGTGAAATAATCAGTGATCACTCTATTTGGCCAATTAGTTGCTAATATTAATCTCCAGGTGTAAGATTTTAAAGTGCAATTAAATGCCAAAATCTCTCTTTTCCCTCCGTCATCGACACTGGTCTAGCCTCAGAGCAACCCGTTAACAGACTAAAATATACCCTTCAAAATTTGTACCTGATAGTATAAACCAAGGTGACTTCATGTGATCATATCCAGGATTTTTATTAATTGTTTATTTTATGCCAAATGTGATCAAATTATGCCTGCTTTTCTGTATCTTGTGTTTTAAATTCTTAATAATGTCCTAAGCAAAATTTCTTATTTCTAAGTGTTGAAATATAATATGGATTTATACATTTTTTACCCTTTTATCAAAGAGAATTAACTTTGTTTCCAGGCTTCTGATACTCTGCACTCAGCTACAATAAACATCCTGAATGTTTTCTTAAATAGTAACACCTTTATTTCTATGATACAAGCCCTAAAAGTAGAATTTCTAGGTAAAAGTGTTAAATGTGTTGTTTTATATTTTGTACAATTTTTATATGTTGCACTTTTGTTTCCAAATTTGGAAGCTTTCAAACTTATAAGAAGATATTAGGTGCAGAAAAAGAACATACTGCTTTTCTTGAACCTCTTGAGAATTACTTGCCAAATTGATGCATTTTATTATAACATTTCATTTGTTATTGGATACTTTTTGTGTATTTCCTTCCAAAAAAGGGGCTTTCTCCCACATAACCACAATAAAATTATGAAATTCAGAAAATTTACACTGACATAGAACTATCATCTAATTCCCAAATTTCCTTCAAGGTTTGCTATTTGTCAAAATAATGTTTTTAGAGTAAAAGCATCCAGCTCAGAATCAATGTCTACATCTGGTGACTATTATCTCTTTAGCCTCCTTCAATATGGAAGAGTGCGTGAGTCTTCCTTGACATTCATGACCTTGACACCTTTGAATACTACACGTTGATTATTTCGTAAAATGTTCTTCAACTGAAATATTCTGATTGTTTCTCATGGTTAGATTCAGGTTTTATCTTCTTGGTAGAAATGGCATAGAAGTGATGTAGTGAAGCTTGGTCTCTGAATCCTTTCAGGTGGTACACAGTTTTATTTGTTCCATTATTGATTATATTTATTTCATTCACATGATTGATGTAATTTCTGCTTGAATTCACTGTAAAGTTATTATTTTCTCATTGTAATTAATGCATATTTTGGGGAAGTGACTGAGATGGCCTTAATATCCCCTTCAGCTTGGGGCTACATTCTTCTTTTTTTTTATACTTTCAGTTCTGGGGTACATGTGCAGAATGTGCAGGTTTGTTACACAGGTATACACGTGCCATGGTGGTTTGCTGCATCCATCAACCTGTCATCTACATTAGTTATTTCTCCTAATGCTATCCCTCCGGATAACAAGAACTCAGAAATAATGTACAGAGTTATGATCTAATAACAGGTGTATTCTAGCTTTTTTACCCAGAAAGCTAACTTCTTTTCTACATTCATTATACAGAAATATCAGATTTTAAAGCCTCTTGAGGCTGGAAAGCCAAACCAAGACAAACTTTAGATTTTTTCTATAGTATTAAGGTCTTTGAAACTTCTAGGAAGTAACAGTTTTTATTTACTCATTATAAGGCTGTGAACCTTCAAAGTTAAGCATGTTATGTATATTGTTAAATATGACATTTTAGTCAAAGCCTTAGTAATGTAACCAATGTTTTTTAAATTGTATTATACTATTAAGAGAGAGCAGAATTTTATTGGACTTACGGAAATAACTTTATGTAAATAACCATATTGTCATAAGAATACTAAAAAGTACATTTGAAATTTTGAAAGAATCAAGTAAGGAGGAAAAATGCCAAATGGTTTTATCTTTTTTCACAAAAGTGTATTTTATCAAATTACCATAAATTATAGGTCACTCAAGAGAGAAAATTTCTTTACACCTGAAAGACAAAACATTTGAGTAAAGGACCAACAACGTTTTAAATAAACATCATAAAAACATGATCAGTTATTGAATTTTATGTAATCAATTTTATTTCTGCTTGATCTTCATTAGTAATTTTATAAATCTACTATTTATTTTATTAGAGTTTTGGACATTTTTATTTAGTCTATTAATCTTAAATGTATCAGAAACCTGTATCTATGAGTACTTGTGGGGGTCTTTTATGAATCTGATTATGAATGTTTTTAGAGAAGAATTTAAAACCGTAGAAGAAAACAATTAGAATAGTCATGGTTAAAAACCTGAGGAAAGTTTATAATTGACAAGAAAATTAAGTTCCTTGTATTATAGATGGCATTTAAAAATAACAGCCAGAATTATGACTGCTAGAATATTAGGTATTTATGAATTTACACACATTTTGAAAAATATTTATAACAATAATATATTTATAAATGTAACTAAAAGATGATCTACTATTACTTCTTGTTTGACAATGTTTTCTACATGACTTATCTAATAAGCATAATTCTTTAACATTTCTACAGGATGAGAGTTATATCTTTTAAGGCTTTTCAGGGACCCACCTGGAGAATCCCAAACGTGATTTTAGGTGAAAAAGATTTAATTTATGATTTCATTTTGAGGAAGTTTATTGAAGATGTTAAAAGGCTCAAAACACTTGATCAGAGAGTGGGGCTTCAAGATGGCTGAGTACAGGTATCTGGCACCCGCCAGCTCCACAAAGAAGCAAAATGTCAAATAGATAATCACACTTTGAAGACAGCACCTGAGAGAGAACACTGTAGTTCAATAGCAAATTGATGGGAAACACCTAAGGTAATGAAGAAGAGGCAGTCTTCCTGGCCAAGGCTGGCTAGGAAACCAGAGAGACTCTCCAGTGCAGAGAAAGAGTAAGTGAGAGATCCCCAGTGATCCACATTCCCAATATTAGACTCCTGGAATCCTTGCCATGGGAGAATCCAGTGATGGTTGCCGACCCTGAGACTAATACACAGAACTCTCTGGAGCTTCAGATATTGCTCCAGAGACAGATCCCAGTCTAGGTCCCGCATATTAACAGAGACCTAAGCAGCTGCAGTATAGCATAATTATGAGAGCTCAACTCCACCAGACTGCATCTCACCCATGGGCCTAACAGCCCCTCAATCTCCACATCCCTGAAACCCCACTGACACTCCCTCCCTACATCCAGCTGAAGGGCTGCAGTGGCACAACACTGGGTGCCCCGCAGCACAGCAGGTCCTCAACACTCTAGCACACAGTGTCCTACGCACCAAGGAATTGGTGGCACAGTGCACTGGGGTGGCTGCCCTAAGACAAAGGGAGCCAAAATACATCTCACCAGAGCCTGATTCTCTCCTGGCTAGGGTTACTGCCATAACACTCACCCTGTCCTGCTAAGCAGCAGGGCTGCTGCACATTCGCATTTGCCCTGAAGACTGGATCTCCCCATTCCTGCTCTTGTTGCTTCCACTATGAGGGATCTGAAGCATACACTGCCCAGCCTCTTGTCTCCAGCTGCTACCACTGACAGCAACCCTGAACCCCCCAGCAATAGGGCTGAAATGCACTTATATGTGTCCTGAGGGCAAAGTTCCTCCTCCAACCTCTGCCACTGTTGCCATCAACCAAGTACTTAGCCAGGGACCTGGGAATAACCTTGTCCCTATTAACAATAGCCTGTACCCATGCACAGCAACAGGAGGTCTGAGGAACGGGCTGCCTGGCCTGGCATTGCTCTGCTCAGTGCCTGAGCATGCCATTCAGGGACCTGTGAATCATTACAACCTGGTCATCATTCTTGGTTCCTGTACACTCCCCTGGCAGCCTGAGGATGGAACTGCCCAGCCTTCCACTACCACCATAGCTGGCACCCACTCACATGTACTTCTTGGGGTCCTGGGGAATGGCCCACCAGCTTATTGCAACCATTTATTTTTTTTAATTATTATTATTTTTTTGAGACAGAGTTTGGCACTTGTTGCCCAGGCTGGAGTGCAATGATTTGATCTCGGGTCACTGCAACCTCTGCCTCTGGGTTCAGGCAGTTCTCCTGCCTCAGCTTCCTGAGTAGCTGGGATTACAGGCATGTGCCACCAAGCCTGGCTAATTGTGTATTTGTAGTAGAGACGGGGTTTCTCCGTGTTGGTCAGGCTGGTCTCAAATGCCCGATCTCAGGTGATCTGTCTGCCTCAAACTCCCAAAGTGCGGGGATTACAGGCGTAAGCCACTGCGCCCGGCCTTTTGCAGCCATTTATAACCCAACAAAGGCCACTTGGAGGCCAGAGGATTATTCCACACTGCTGGAATGATCTCATAATTGCCCATGCCATGCACACTGCCTAAGGATCAAAGACTTGCCCCCCTACCTGGCCCACAGCTGCCACTTCAGGAATTCAACAAAACCAGCTGGAGGACCAAAAATTGGCCTAATTCATCTGGTTAACACCAGATGCTGACCTGGGACCCAAAGACAGGCATGATTGGCCCACTGCTGCCACCACTGGGGTCTGAGGACTGGCCCACTTGGCATCCTTGTCCCCAAAAAACCTCACCACAGCCTCCACTAACAATCACACCCTAAGTCAATGTGGAAACCACAGATACTTTAGATGCTGCTTACAGTGTAATTGTTTCTCCTTACAGAATGTTCATTTAGATAATTTGGAAGTTGAACCTGATGAAAAGGACACTCTAATTTAATCAGACACAGGAACAATGTGTCTAACATTATAAGTGCAACAATTAGATATATCAAGAAAAGCAAAGAGTACAAAATCAAATTATATTGAAGGAAAACACTGCTTTTCTAGGCCTTCATGGTAAGTATTTTACTGTCAGGACATAACAGCAGAGTTAGAACCAGAGGAAAAGAGTTACTGGAGTGGACAACAAAACAAAAAGGCCTTCTCAAGGTTCTCGATGGTATTAAAACCCAAGGTAGTGATGTATGCCTGCAAATCACGTGCAGTGAGATACAGCAAAACTTGAACCACTGAGATATGAATCTGAGAAATTTGGAAATGAAAATTTTGTTTCAAGAAGTGAAATTATTATGTAAATGAATAGGAGAGCATGTTTAGCCTGTAACTAGGGAAATTAAATAGACCTCCAGGAAAAAAATGGCTGAAACAGACACTGTGGTTTAGAATAAGGCTGGTAAAGACACAGATTTTGTGATTATAAATCAAACCTCTTGCAATTTTATGAACAGCATATACATGTTTTAAGAAAACCTTGTAGTTTCAAATATTGAGGATCAGATTTTGGTCAAGTATCAATGCACCCTTGATACCAATATTTACTTTTTAGAAAAACACATAAGTATATTTTTCTCAATCTCACCACATAAAACCTCTTTTATAAGACCCATCTTTTTTTTTTTTTTTTTTTTGAGACAGAGTCTTGCTCTGTCTCCCAGGCTGGAGTGAAGTGGCCTGATCTCGGCTCACTA